GCAGCTGTGCGGGCCTGTCACATGCAGCTGCCTCTCTGGGCTGAGGGCAGGGGCAATCCAGACTCTCTGGGGCCCCTCTCTCTGACATGGGCACCCCTCCAGTCCCCTCCAAAGATCCTCACCTTGGCTCCTAGCAGCGCCTGGGACCCTACCCCATGCTGCCTGGAAGAGGCTCCTTCAGCTGACCACCTGCCACCTTCCAGAGACGCTGGGGGCCACGTGGGGGGACCACTGATGCTGAGGCAGCCTGGGGGTGGCCCTGGGAAGGTAGCGGGAGCAGGACGGGATTCAGTGGCTCCCCTCAAATTTTAAGGCCAGACTCCTCTGTCCTCCTGAGGGTGTTTACTTTGAACATTAGCAGAGGAGCCTGAACCCCTTCCCTCTGCAGATGGAGGTCTTCCACAAACCTGCCCTCCCCCACCCACCGCCCTTGATCTAGGGGCTGATCCAGGGGCAGCTCTGGGTTCCCAGAAGGGAAGGCAGGGGCAGATTCCTCTGGGGACCTTTATCTTCCAAGATCTGGAGGGAGGACCAGGGGGTTTCCAACCTCCATTAGGGGACTGTCCTCACCACTGGGCTGGATCAGGATCCTTGACTCTGCGGATGGAGGGCGCCATTGCTGATGCCCACCGGCCTCCCTCAGAGAGTGGGGCAGTAGCAGGGGCAGCCCCTGTCCTTGGACCATTGGGAGGTCTTCTGGGTGTGATGGCAGAGGTGTGTGTGCACGTGTGCAGGTGTGGGTGAAGCTTCCTTGGTGGCGCTCTCTGCTCTGAGATACAGTGGTCTGCACCGCTGCCCTTTCATACTCAAGGGCATTCAGAGGACAACCTGCCCCTGAGGTCATGGGGGGCAACGGAGGGGCAGTCTGAGTGCTGGCGTCATGCCGGGCAATTGTGGGTCTGTCTGGGGGTGACTGCTCAGAGTGCTCTCCCTTCTGCTTTGCAGGGTCCCATCGGAGCTCCCCAGAACCCCCCGCAGGGCCCAGCCCCCTGTCCCTCACTGGCCTCCCCCTCAGTCCTGACCCTTGCCCTCAGAAGACATATTCCCCGGGGGCCGTCACAGTCCTGCGGTGACCGTGGGGTCTTCGGGGCGAG